TGTAATAAGTTTGGGTCCAGACTGACTCTAGGGCTTTGATCTCATGAAGGTTTTTATATTTAGTTATATAAAATAAATTATATATTTTTATTTTTAAAAATAACAAAATGTTATGATTTTATATATTTATCTCCTTTATAAGCCTACTCTTTTGGACAAAACCACAAAATGAAAGAATGACTACCGGGCAAAAACAAATGGCAAAAACGAATTGCAAAAGCGCAGGTCCCAACATGAACTGACATAGCCAATCGACCAGAGAGAAGTGAAATCTGACAAGTGGGCGGTGCATAGTGCCAGGTAAATCCTTTTTCTTCCCCTTACCTCTTAGATGGCTTTTAAAGGAAGTGTTACTGTACATTACAGAAAAAAATACATGCATTCTAGACTGGAAAGTTTTGCTGAGATTTAGTTTTATAATTCTATAGATTATGTTGCCAAGGGCAGGGCCCAGGAACGAAAACTCCAATATAATGGACAAAAAAGGTTCAGTGGACATGCCACAGGTAAGATTCTATAATTTCAGCCTGTGTACCAACCAAACTCATCCTCATTCCAAGCAATTACATCTTGATGAATGCTGTTAGTTTCAATGAAAAGGCACATTCTCTGGTGTATTCTATGCCCTGTCTTGAACTCTTGATGGCATGTTGACTGTAGTGTTGCTGTCATGTTTTGTAGAAATAAGTGTCATTCAATAGGCATCTGTATGACTGTAATAGCATAGTCCTACAGTACTATACTAACACTGAAACAAGCTGTGATTAACTTGTGTGGGTGTTGTCCTCTGGGGATTCTACTTCCTCAGTTCCAGAAATGCAGCCCTGCTATTCTCTCACTAAAGAGGAACTAAGATCATCACAAATGTAAATATATCAAGGGCTCGATTCAATCAGATCGGCTTTAGCCAACATCCGCATAGCAGTTGTTTTGGCGGTGTCGGAGAACTGTGTTAGAGCTGTCAAATCCACCAAGTGGCTCCCGGAATTATACCTAAAGCGCACTTTGCCATTGGCTGCATGGAGTCCCGTTTAGAGAAATCCCATGCAGCCTTGTTTACAGTGGCGTCATTAGGCCTTGGTTTCCGGGGCCTAACCCTAACCTTGAATTAAGACCAAAAAGCTATTTTATTTGGCCAATTTTGACTGTGTGGCTGTGGAATCTGACTTTGTGGCTGTGTTATCTAGTACAAACCCAGTAGTAGGTACTGCAAGAAGCTCCTGGAGTGACGCGGTAGCTGCTGTGATTGGTCAGGATTTCACAACGCAGTGGACCGCTCACGTCCCTTGACCCCACCCCTAAAGCACTGGTTAGATGTCAATGTCATCATTCAGCAAAACACCTGTCACTCTGTCAGTCTGCAGTGTAGCACAGAGCAAATATGGATCTTCTTCCAAAAGAGAGGCAAAAACAGCGAGCAGGTTGCGCATGAGCAGGCAGCAGTGAATGAGGTGAAGAGGGCAGAACAGCCAGAAAGTCAAAGTGCAGCAGCAGCAGCAACAGAGTTAGACACAGGTTTGTGCAGGGTTGGTGGTAGCTAACTAGCTTGTCTCCCTCAGCATAAGGGTTGGCTAATGCTAATAAGCTAGCATTAGCGCCCAGCACCCTTAAGCTATTGGGTGTCAGTCACAGTTATTTAACAGTATATTTAAGGATGTTGATATCAGTCATGACATTAGGAAAAGTGTTTATTTCTAGTGAGTGTATTTGATGGGTTTCGTTTCTGTAGCTAGCTTGGCTGGTTAGCCACTTCGGTAGCTACTGGCTGAATAGCTAGCTGAGACCGAAGAGATGAGAGAACGTTTCTATGACTGAAGCACATATCTTCTGACAGTGACACAGTGAACCACTGTAGACTGTAGCTGAACTTTACTACATTTTGATATGAACCAATAATGTACAGTGCATTCGGAAAGTATTCAGACCCCTTCCCTTTTTCCACATTTTGTTATGTTACAGCCTTATTCTAAATGTTGTTTCCACATTTTGTTATGTTACAGCCTTATTCTAAAATGGATTAAATAAATAAAAATCCTCATCAATCTACACACAATACCCCATAATGACAAAGCAAAAACAGGTTTTTAGAAATGTTTGCAAATTTATTAAAATAAATAACAGAAATAACGTATTTAGTTTCAACTCTTCTGCCTGCGGCTATGGAACCCTGACCTGTTCACCAGACATGCTACCTTGTTCCAGACCTGCTGTTTTCAACTCTCTCTCTCTACTGCACCTGCTATTTCAACCTCTAAATGCTCGGCTGTGAAAAGCCAAGTGACATTTACTACTGATGTACTGACCTGTTGCAACCTCTACAACCACTGTGATTATTATTTGACCCTGCTGGTCATCTATGAACGTTTGAACATCTTGGAGAAAAATCTGGCCTTAATCGCCATGTGCTGTTATAATCTTCACCCGGCACAGCCAGAAGGGGGCTGGCCACCCCTCAGAGCCTGGTTCCTCTCTAGGTTTCTTCCTAGGTTTCTACCTTTCTAGGGAGTTTTTCCTAGCCACCGTGCTTCTACATCTGCATTGCTTGCTGTTTGGGGTTTTAGGCTGTGTTTCTGTATAGCACTTTGTGACATCTGTTGATGTAAAAAGGGCTTTAAAAATACATTTCATTGATTGATCCTTTGCTATGAGACTCGAAATTGAGCTCAGGTGCATCCTGTTTCCATTGATTTTCCTTGAGATGTTTCTACAACTTGATTGGAGTCCATCTGTGGTAAATACACACCTGTCTATATAAGGTCCCACAGTTGACAGTGCATGCCAGAGCAAAAACCAAAACATGAGGTCGAAGGAATTGTCCGTAGAGCTCCGAGACAGGATTGTGTCAAGGCACAGATCTGGGGAAGGGTACCAAAAAATGGCTGCAGCATTGAAGGTCCCCAAGATCACAGTGGCCTCCATCATTCTTAAATGGAAGAAGTTTGAAACCACCAAGACTCTTCCTAGATCTGGCCGCCCGGCAAAACTGAGCAATCGGGGGAGAAGGGCCTTGATCAGGGAGGTGACCAAGAACCCGATGGTCAGTCTGACATAAGCTCCAGAGTTCCTCTGTGGAGATGGGAGAACCTTCCAGAAGGACAACCATCTCTGCAGCACTCCACCAATCAGGCCTTTATGGTAGAGTGGCCGGACAGAAGCCACTCCTCAGTAAAAGGCAGATGACAACCCCCTTGGAGTTTGCCAAAAGGCACCTAAAGGACTCTCAGACCATGAGAAACAAGATTCTCTGGTCTGATGAAACCAAGATTGAACTCTTTGGCATGAATGTCAAGCGTCACATCTGGAGGAAACCAGGCACCGCTTATCACCATCCCTACGGTGAAGCATGGTGGTGGCAGCATCATGCTGTGGAGATGTTTTTCAGCGGCAGGGACTGGGAGACTAGTCAGGATCGAGGGAAAGACGAACGGACCAAAGTACAGAGATCCTTGATGAAAACCTGCTCCAGGGCGCTCAGGACCTCAGACTGGGGCGACGGTTCACATTCCAACAGGACAATGACCCTAAGCACACAACCAAGACAACGCAGGAGTGGCTTCGGGACAAGAGAGAGACCTGAAAATGGCTGTGCAGCGACGCTCCCCGTCCAACCTGACAGAGTTTGAGAGGATCTGCATAGAAGAATGGGAGAAACTCCCCAAATACAGGTGTGTCAAGCTTGTAGCGTCATTCCCAAGAAGACTCGAGGCTGTAATCGCTGCCAAAGGTGCTTCAGCAAAGTACTGAGTAAAGGGTCTGAAAAATTATGTAAATGTAATATCAGTTTTATTTATTTGATAAGTGTGCTAAATGGTGTATTGTGTGTAGATTAATGGGAACAATTTTTTCAAATACATTTTAGAATAAGGTTGTAATGTATCAAAATGTGAAAAAGTGACTGAATACTTTCCGAATGCACTATATATGAACTACAGGAGACAATGTCCTGTGCTTCAATGTTTTTATTTTTTATTTTATTCCTGGTCATTCGTCATAGCCCTTACACAGCCTGGAGGTGTGTTGGGTCATTATCCTATTGAAAATCAAATGATAGTCCCACTAAGCTCAAACCAGATGGGATGGCGTATCGCTGCAGAATGCTGTGGTAGCCATGCTGGTTAAGTGTGCTAAATAAATCACAGACGGTGTCACCAGTAAAGCACCCCCACACCATAACACCTCCTCCTCCATGCTTTACAGTGGGAACTTCACATGCGGAGATCATCCGTTCACCCATGCCGCGTCTCACAAAGACACGGCGGTTGGAACCAAAAATCTCCAATTTGGACTTCAGACCAAAGGACAAATTCTCTGTGTTCTAATCTCTCAATGTTCATCTCAAAGTGCACCAAATTCATGCATTTAGCTGTTGAAAGGATGCCCCCGGACCCCCCAACTGGCTTTGTACTAAGCCCCCAATCCTTAAAAATCCTAGAAACGCCCCTACTTGTTTACAAGTTCGAACACTAGAATGTGAGATGTAATCTACACCTCGATTAGGATGATAGAAATCCAAATTATTTAGTGTAATGATTTTTCTATTTGATTGAAATTATTTCTATATTGCGTACACTTTCTCGTTCTGAACTTCTAACGCGAGTGGGGCGGGTGTGGCTTCGTGACCGTGATGACAAGAGCAGCTGATCACCGATTTCACGGCTCCAACACAGTTCTACCTTCGACACCGCCAAAACATCTGCTGTGCAGGTGTCTGCTATCGCCGGTTAATGCTTGATCTGATTGAATTTAGGCCCAAATGTTTGATACTAAGCCAAATCAGGATGTTTTCCCTGTTATGACACATTAGTTTTAAAGGTCCATGTGTTGGTTGCTCTATGAAAAGTGAAGCTTTCCCTTGAGATCCTCAACTGGAATTTCAGAACACACCAGCTATAATTTCTGTACATTCGGAACACTAGCTATCATTTCTGTGCATTTGGAACACTTATTATAATTTCTCTGCACTCAGCACACTAGCTATCATTTCTGGACATTGCTCATCTATGATCTTTGTCCTCCTTGTCCAGCTGAGCAACGAGATGCAGCTGAGCATTATGATGAAGGTGAAGAGTGGGGAGCTGACCATCGAGGATGCCCTGAACCAGGCCAGGAGAGACAACCAAGAGCAGCTGAAGCAAAGCCTGGCCATGGAGGTATTGAAGCCTGGTACCAGATCTGTTTGTGCCATCTTGCCAAGGCCCAGTAGTACAATACCTCCACAACCTGGTCCCAGATCTGTTTGTGTCGTCTTGCCAACTTCTATGGTCATGTCACTCATTGGCCTTACAGTGAGTTTTCACCAACAATTAATTCAGCAGGAGAAGTTCTGCCCCCATTCATTTTCAATGAGGGCACGCAGAGAAATGTGCAGGGGAATGTGGGAAGGTGAGCGGCTAGAATCCTGCTAGCGGAGCGGTAGAAAAAGTTGAGCTCTGCTCTACTTTATGCAAATTTCAAGTGAAGGAAAGCATTAGAGCGAAGCGCCGCCTCTGGTCAAAACCCTACGTTAGGAGTTGACATGACAGCACAAAGAAATCTGGGACCAGGCTAGAGGTAAAGGTATTGTACTACTCGGCCTTGAAATCAGCACAGGAAACCATGGCAACAACAAAGCCTGGGTTAACCTTGGACGGTCTTTGCACACACATAATAGATTTTATCGAAACACGACACGGTACATGTTGTGCATCTTATTCTGTCATTCACTATCAACTTCGAAGTTACGCTGTTCTTCTGTTCTGTTCTTGCATCATTGTCATTGGTGTATTGGTCTCCATTGCAGGAACAGCAAGCTTCCCAGTACAACTTCAGTGTTTACAAGTACAACCGCTACAGATGGCAGAAGCGCATTCTTCAGGTGAGTCAGATATGGGGCATCTTTTGACATTGAGTTAAGTGTTATCACAACTGGTATTACAACGTCTAGAAACTGTTGTGATAACCGCTTCCATATGATGAAAGCCTGTAGTGTGCTGGTAGAGATACCCTGTCATGCATCATTGAGTAAAAGCAGTGAAAATCTCAGAATAATGTGGATCTCCATACTATATGTTTAGATTGACTTCAACACTAAGATGGTGTGCAGCATAGAGAAAGGCATCGTAAAGCGTCAGCTGCCCTTCCTGTGTGTTAAGAGCTGCGATGACAGAGTTGGAGCCAAGTTCTCCATATCTTTCAGAGGAAGACATGACTATGAGCTAGAGGCCACCTCACTGGAGGACAAACACATGGTAAGAGAGTCGTCCCTGCCACTAAACAGCCTGGTTTGTGTAGAGCCATAGCAGATGTGAGATAGGTCAATCTCTGGTGCTACTTCCCTTGATCGGTTAATAGGATGCCACTCAGCTTCATGACATAAAGATTGAAGACATTTTAAGGAATAGTTATTTTCAATTAAGACTTACGATTTTTGATTGAGGCTTTTTGACACATGTTGTGTAGATGATGCAGCTTGTAAACAAGATAATCTACAGAAACGTCTACAGCCCTCCAGTAGACTACAGTGAGCACCAAAGAGCACCAAAGAGCCTCATGGAGGGCCTGTTGTTCCTGCAGAGAGGAGGCTTGACATCATTTAAATGGGTGAAGTATGTGTGTGATCTGTACTACACTACTCTACTAGTACCACTACCACTACCACTACCACTACTACTACTACAACACTAGTACTGTACTATGACTACTGCATAATGCTTTTACAAAGTTTGGAAGAGTCTTGCATTGACTATGAGTCATTTACTATCTACATGATTATGTTATTTACACTTATGTTCTTAGGTACGAGGCTCGCCTTCACCCTGGCCAGCTGACCCTGCTCCCCATCAGCCGACGGGCGGTAGATGCAGATGGGGGCACGGTCACCTCATCGTCCTTGCCAGTTGTCATTCATTTTTCAGACGGGGACAACAGCTTAGAGAAGCCACACAGCTGTGACACCTTCACTCTACTGACACACAATAATGAGTACCAGTGAGTAACCATGAAAAACCCATTCAGAGGCATGGGGGAGGCAGGTGTTTGGGACAGTTTTTTAGGAGAAGACAGTTTCTTAGGAAATTATGTAACTATTTTTGCAGTCGTTTTTGTAAATGAAGCCTTTCCCAATGTCAGTTCATCTACATATTTAAATTAAATTCATCAGTGATGTGCAACAGAATCATTTGTCAGAATAGAGTTTATGTCTGAAGAGTTGAGCATTGCTGCTGCTCTCTGATTCGTCTCATGACTGCATGCCTTGTATACACTCCATAAATACTCCTATTTGACAACATCCAATGTCATAAATCTAGATGGAAAATGTTTTCCCAGTGATAGTCATTGTTTGCTCAGATACCCAAGAGAGGAAGTTAAGACAAGTCATACTGATGTATTGCAGGTTCCGGGTACCTGTGACAGACCATTCTAAGAGCACAGAAGCCATCCAGAGGGAGAGGGATGCCTGGGTCCAGGCCATAGATAAGCTGTGCCTGGACTGGAAACGCAAGTCTCAGTCTGAGCATATCTATGAGGATCCTAGTGTTATAGATCTAAGAATCTATGACAATGTCAAAGACATTGTAGAGGAGAGCAAATCCACAGGCAGAGAAGGCCTCAGAGTATCTGATCTGTGCTTAGGTGCAGCAGATCAGCTATCAGGGGGAGGGAAGGTGCTGAGTATTCCTACGACCTCGCCAGCAAAACCTGTCCCGAAATCTCGCAGCCCTGTAAAGTCACCAGTGAATGTCCCTGTCCCTAGTCCTGTCCCTGGTTCTGTAATTGTCCCTGTGCCTGTCCCTGGTCCTGTCTCTGTACCCATCACCCCTGTGATCCCAGCACCCTGCTTCATCCCCATGCCTCCTCCATTGACCTTTAATAAACCCAATAGAAAACCCTTAACAGGGCGAACCAGGGCTTTTCACTGGGAGGAAGTTGGTTCAGATAAGGTACTACTACAGATGTATTTGTTTATCCCTCTTTATTACACTACATTTGTAAGCATGTAATATAATCATGCACATTGACAATGTTATATGATATTGCATTATGTTATATTATGGTATATTACCTCATATTACACTACACTAGAGTCTGATTCATTTTACGTTTTTGTCATGCTCATCTGATAGTTTGTAATGATAAATAAGGAAGTACATAAGTTCCACTTCATAATTTCCGTAAACACTATAGGGAATTATTCGCTGCAGTGTCTGTCTGCGTCACTGTGCTTTCCCAGAGCGTTGCATTTCATAGAGAATACAGCTTGTCTTTGTGGTGATTATGATTGGTCTCTCGGCAGATAGAGAAATCATTCTGGACATGGGGAAATCCTGGGGAGATTGAAATTGACACTTCACGCTTGTACGAGCAATTTGCAGTTCAAGATTTGGGAACGTTCGGTGGGATCACCGAGCACAGCAATAACCTCCACATCATGCTCAACACGAAGGTGGCGCACAACTTTAGTAAGTAGCTCCACAATGACTTGTATGGAAGTTTGATGTGAGGTGAGGTGATAGGCCAACTATATGCTCTTTAAATTGTTCTGTGGTTGCACACAAGTTATATATCAGACCCATCAACAGATTTCTTTGAAACTACATGCAGTGCTTGATTACTGTAATTGAGTTTTAGAAGAAGTAACACCTTTTGCAACCACCAGATGGTAGTCCTTAATAGGAGATTCAATGAGCTTTACATTGGCTGTAAAGACCACAGTCATTGGTGATGACTCACTCCATCTGATCTGTATCACATGTATTTACTTTAAAAAATCTGCTAAATATTTCATACAGTAGCTACATAACAAGACGCAATAAATATATAACATTGAAGTCTTATTAGGTAAGTATCGGAATAGAAATAGGCTTCGACCCAGACTCGCAGTATGCATAATGACAGTAATTTATTTAATCTCTTAGCTTTCTCTAAAATATTAATTTATTCTGGGGGAATACCTGAACGGGTTAATGCCATGTGCTCTTCATCACTATTAACCCTCCTTATAGGCGAATGGTGCTAGTTTCAGTGTAGATACAGAGATGGGTTTTCCTTCACTGTGTGTCTACAGGGGGCAGTCTCAGTCTATCAGAGCCTCGGTAAAGCTACAATCTTTTTTTTCTTCTTAAGCTAATGTCTTTGACTGTTGTTCAGAAGGGCATCTATGACTTGGCGACCTGAGACCAATGGAGAAAGTGTGTGTGTGTGTGTGTGTGTGTGTGTGAGTGAGCCCGAGGTAGAAAGATTTCAGAGTTCTCTTCTCGCAGGGCTTCAAAGTGGCACAGAAACCGTGACGTGATGCACACTTGGTGCAGCAGAGAGGGTAGTTAAACTACATCAGTACAAGTGTGCAGGCTGGCAACACAATTAAAGTACGCATGGCCATGAAATATGGAGCCCACGTGTGACAGTCGCTATGAGTGTCTGTCATAGGATAGGACAGGTTAGGATACACTGCAAGTGTGCTTCTCTCCTCTCTGTGCCCTGGAAAGTTGTGCTCTGACAAGGCCCTGTGCTTGGTGACTACCGCCTGTGGGCAACTCCAGGCGATGCGGTTCTCTGCCGCCAGCATGAGAGGGATAAGGGGGTTGAGGAACACACACAGACACACACACACACAGATGATGCTTGTTTTAAATGAGCTCTGCATGTTTATCAGCAGGATCTCTGCTGACTAGCTGTTTTGTTGTTGCATAGGGACAGTATGCATGACAGGATTTGCTTATCCAAGGAGCTGTAGATAATACTGTCTCTAGATACATTCAGTACATCTTCTATTAGTGCATTGTAAGTTACAATCAATAATTAAAACAATAATTCATGGATCTTACGGTAAAACGGTTATGTACTGTATTTGCAATCATAACACTCTTATCTATAATGACAAAGTACTATGCATATACACTATATATACAAAAGTATGTGGGCACCCCTTCAAATTAGTGGATTTGGCTATTTCAGACACACCCATTGCTGACAGGTGTATAAAATCGAGCACACAGCCATGCAATCTCCATAGACAAACATTTGCAGTAGAATGGCCTTACTGAAGAGCTCAGTTACTTTCAACATGGCACCGTCATAGGATGCAACCTTTCCAACAAGTCAGTTTGTCAAATGTCTGTCCTGCTACAGCTGCCCCGGTCAACTTTAAGTGCTGTTATTGTGAAGTGGAAACGTCTAGGAGCAACAACGGCTCAGCCGCGAAGTGGTAGGCCACACAAGCTCACAGAACGGGACCGGCGGGTGCTGAAGCGGGTAGAACGTAAAAATCGTCTGTCCTCGGTTGCGACACTCACTACCGAGTTCCAAACTGCCTCTGGAAGCAACATCAGCACAAGAACTGACGGGAGCTTCATGAAATGGGTTTCCATGGCCGAGCAGCCGCACACAAGCCTAAGATCACCATGCGCAATGCCAAGCATCGGCTGGAGTGCTGTAACGCTCGTCACCATTGGACTCCTGAGCAGTGGAAACGCATTCTCTAGAGTGATGAATCACGCTTCACCATCTGGCAGTCCGACGAACGACTCTGGGTTTGGCGGATGCCTGGAGAACGCTGCCTGCCCGAATGCATAGTGCCAACTGTAAAGTTTGGTGGAGTAGGAATAATAGTCTGTGGCTGTTTTTCATGGTTCGGGCTAGGCCCCTTAGTTCCAGTGAAGGGAAATCTTAACGCTGCAGCATACAATGGCAGTCTAGACAATTCTGTGCTTCCAACTTTGTGGCAACAGTTTGGGGAAGGCCCTTTCCTGTTTCAGCATGATAATGCCCCCGTGCACAAAGCGAGTTCATACAGAAATTGTTCGTCAAGATCGGTGTGGAAGAAGTTGACTGGCCTGCACAGAGCCCTGTGGCTGAATGGAAGCAAGTCCCCGCAGCAATGTTCCAACATGTAGTGGAAAGCCTTCCCAGAAGAGTGGAGGCTGTTATAGCAGCAAAGGGGGGGACCAACTCCATATTAATGCCCGTGATTTTGGAATGAGATGTTCGACGAGCAGGTGTCAACATACCTTTGGTCATGTAGTGTAGCTTACAGTTTTACATTTAAAAAAGATGGTTATAAAATGCCTATATCCAGGTGGCGGTATTATTATTAGATTAAGAGTATTTTCCCCGCTAGCATTGAGCTTGAACATGGTCTCTGTGGGCTATATCCTGTCTTTATTCCACAGGCAGGCTGCATGACAGCACGAAGCTAAGTGTAGGATGGCCTTGGACAGGTGGTAATGGTGTTGTGTTTGTTTTCATTCCTCAAGAAAATACTTGAACCCTGAGAGGAGATAAACAACAGATCTACGATGCATTGCGTGGGAATGTGTGGGTCCAATACTATTTAAGTGATAATGCCCGAGAAGCCGGTGTTTGGAGGATATCTTGGCACAGGTGTTGTTATGCCCGAGACGAAGTCTCCGTGCCAATATACCCTCTACTTTGAGGGCATTATCACTTTTATACAATGGGTTACCAACGTATTCAAATAAAGATTTACATATTTTCATTAAAAACTTTATTTTGATTTAATTTATTCATACTATTTCATCAAGTCCTGACACAAATCTAGGGTTGCTACCCAGGCCCGCTGGTTGTTCGTTCTATCGGTTCGGTTGCCAGAGACGCGACCCAGTTGTTAAGTCTTTTTGTTCTGTATCTATCGACCCAGTCATTCCCTAGCCAACTACGGGTAATTTACAGTCACGTTAAACAGTGCAGCCAGAATAACAGCAAAGTAGCCGCATTTGCATTTGTTTAAGCTGTTTTCTAGTGACATTTATTTGGATACATACATAAGAATGAGCTAATGATCCGCGATTTCACCTGGCATAGAAAATGTGCGCTCTCGTCAGGACACTGTTGTTCAGAGGAGCTAGCCAACGACACAGCTAATACAGCTAACACAATCACTTCAAACTGAAGCTGGAAAGACTGCAAACTAGCTACATTTCATTTTAGTTTTACCTGTTTTCCATTGACATTTCATTGTATATGTCCATAATAATTATGCTGATTCATGATTTCGACTAGCTGAGAAAAGCTGACTGAATGTCTGTCTCGTCCCGACTCCAGACCGCTACACGTTCATTACTATGAGACAGCTGGAGATCGAATTTCAATATTGAAACAACGTTGCAAATGTCAGCGAGACTGACAGCAAATTTTATACAAATCTCCGCTATTGAAAACCAATTGCTAGTCTAAAAGAAATGGGAGAGAATGTCTAGATGCTTTTTACAGTGGAGATCAAGTTTATAAATTGTCTGGCTGGGCTGATGAGACAGTGGATTGCGCTGTGAGATGGAACAGAGTAAATAGGCATTTCAACGTCATAGCTTTAGCCAGTGGTAACTTGTGGAATAGACACTGGCTGGAATGCAGTTTTAACCAATCAGCGTCCAGGATTAGACCCACCCGGTGTATAAGTAGCCAATAACCGCTGCTCAGGGCATGACCTGCGCTTTTTCCAGGTATTACCGATGAAACACACTGTGATGGACTAAATTGATTAGAAAAATATGTCCCTATCAAAGCAACTTTGAGTGAAGCACATTTTTATACAACTAGTTAGCTTCCTTAACTAGCGAGCAGAAGAAGATGATTTGGGATTTAACTTTAGCCAGTTGGATTTACTAGATCCTTTTATCTGTTTTATAGCTTAGAAGGCTGCGAAGATCAGCTCTCTAAGACAAGCAAAAGAGACTACTTATCCTCATAGGATTAATACATTAGATGTTTCACGCAGAGAGAAACATCACCAAAGTCTCATATTCAAACACATTGTGATTGTGCACTGTGTAGTGCCATCCCAGAGCCTGCCCTTCTTGTACTTTTAAATATGTGCTTAATTAATACGGTGATTGATTCGACACGAGAGCTCCCAAGTATGCTCCTATGTAAGTGTGTTTAATCAAGGTTGTGTTGAAAGCATTAATCTAGTTTCTCTAATTGATGACTGAGGATGTGTCCCAAATGGTACCCTATTCCCTACAGCGCTATGGGCCCTGACTAAGTAGTGCACTATGTAGTGATTAGGACGCCATTTGGGAGGCACACAGAGAAATGACTGGATTTGTAATTCAAAAAACACCTATGGCTCACTTCGCCCCCAGTGGGATACACTTTACATTTCCATATCCTAATTTGTCAGGATTAAAAAGCCTGTTTGGCCAATAGCCAATAAACAAGCTACATTTTCTGTTTCTAAAACTTCCTGCTAAGGCTAACGCCTCGATCACACCTACAGCCTCATTGCGCATAATGGTACTCAGCATCATCTGGATATGTATGCAACAAAAATTCAACATTCACCTTCTGCTACCATTTCTGTCAAGCCATCTAAATCCAACGTATACACCACACAGAATGCACTGCAACTGCCTCTGCAACGCAATGCTGCAAGACAAACGCAGCGTTCCATTGGAAATGAATGTACTTCTGGTGTATCAACACGCAATGACGCTGTAGGTGTGATCGAGG